ATATATATATATACACATATTAAGATCCTGACTTGAAGAAACAAGATTTTTTATTTTTATACCTCCTTCTGAAGACAAAGATCTTTAGTATATGCTAAGGCTTCATCTCCAAAGGGTTCACCAGGTGTAAGTCCATTATCACGAGAAGCTCGAGCACAACTAATACCTGAAATTTTTATATCTTATTTCAAGTACATACAGATACATAAATTAACACCACTAAAATGTTTAAATTTGTAACACTTAAAGCGAAAATTCATAGCTGAATATTGATAATATGGAGTATAACATTGTATAAATACTCAGTAACAACTAATTAATCTGATTTCATAACAATAATTCATATTTATTCTACGCAGTAGTATCTTTTGAAAAAAAAAGAGCGCGATTCCTTGAGATGACGAGTCCAGGGGTGATTGTGAGCCCAAGTCAAAATTCCGGAAAATTTCTTAAGTTTAAAATAAAAAAACANAAAAAAAAAAAAAAAAAAAAAAACATTTTAAATTGAAAAAAATTTAAACAAGGTTTTTTTCCCTTTTTCTCATTATTTCTTAGTTTACTTAAAATATACTTAAAATTACACATACCTGTGAGGGCCAGGAGAAGTAATTAAAATTTACCAATGTCTTCCTTTCTTGAGTTTATGATTATAATAACTAGTTACTGATAAAAAATGAATATTAATTACGAATATAAGCTTATGAAGTATCTCTCTGGCTCTCCCTTACAAACAAATAAAATAAACTGTGTTTTTAAGTTCCATTTTTGAAAATTTGATTTCCGGAAACTTCTGTGATCAATGATTTTTTTAAACGTCTGGACCTTCGATCTCTGGAAACTTCCGGATCATTGTTAGCGAAAAATCCGGAAATACGGATTTTTTCCGGAGCACAATCAGCCCTGCGAGTCATTGGCAGGCTTGATGTTGGTCAATCCAAAAGCGGACCGCTGAAACTGCCACAGAACAGCAACACCTGTACAAAATCCATAGCCTGGTCATGGCTGTCCAGCTTGCTTGCCTTTGCAACTGGAATAAGAGTCTCCACACAAACAGTATGTAGACGTCTAACTAAAAGGTAGCAACTTGAAGTCCACAAGGCTTCAGATCAGTAGCTACCAGTTTTCTGAGAAGCTAGACCACAATGCTAACCACTTTGCCACTATTACGCTCTCGGTCATGAAATTGTAGAACTTCAATGACCCTCTGACCCACAAAGGCTTTTTGCAGAAGTGTTTTACTTTTTCATAATTTTAATACACTAAGCTTTGAAAAAAATAATTTAAAAAAGTAATAACTTTTTTTAATGTATTAGGCTGTTAAATTATGTTTAATCAAATATTTAAAAGTTTAAGAAAAAAGTACATTAAGCAAGTAAAAACAAAAATTTCATCTAAAACACCAGAAGATAAGGGAAGAGGGTTTTTAATTTAGAACAACTAGATAAAACTAAAAATTGCACAAATCAGTTCTACATTTGCTGCAGTTATGAACTTAAAACAGGATAGATATTTTGTTTTTTTACTTTTGTGACTACAGCTTCAGCAATAAAAACTTTATCATTTCAAACTTACTCTTATATATTATAAGAATATGTATAAATTTTTAAACAATTTTATTTTTATTGCAGTTCAATACAATTAGTTAAAAAATATAATAAAAATATCTTAAATGAACTGTTTTAAAAAAAAAATTTCTGCTTAAGAAAATTTATTTTAAGATTGATAGCTTTCTGCTTCATTACTGATATTACAGTTTTTAGCAATGTAAAGCTTTGCTTCACATATATTTTTAAAATATACCCCCTCCAGGGTAGACCAATCAGATACATTTCTTAAATTTTATTGCATATATGTATAGCACTTTAATTTTCAATTTGAAACAAAGAGAAGCAGATTAAAATGGAGTAGCCCACTTAGAATTATTAACTCCAAAAGAGCACAGGTGACCATCAAATTTGGCCCCAAACAAGCACAGACTGTTTTTTTTAATGTTTTGCATAGTTATGAAATTAAATGTAGTTTCATTTCATAACTTTAAGCTTATGCAATTATTAATACAAATTCAAAATCATGTAATTTAAAAATAGCCCTTTTTGAGCAGAAACTAAAAAATGGCAGTACTAAAAATAAATTGAATATTTAAATCATACCTCCAAGCAAAAATGTTATAAGGTAATTTTGACGGGGCAAAAATAAACGGAGTCTAGATCCACTTGCAACAAATTCAACTAGAGCTTCAGTTCGTCCTGCTCTTTGAATTAAAGGAAAATATTGTTTGGACAGTTTTAGATCCTAAAAAGTGAAAATTTAAATGTACATTAAGATTAAATGCTCAAGCAAAAACAGTAACATGTTTTAAAGCAATAATTTTACAATTTATGTTATTTTACGTAACCAAAAAACTGTTAATTTATTAAACAAACAGACAATAATTAAGAAAAATTCTTGAAACTTTATGATCTGTTTAAGATAGTTAAAATGAAATTCTTTTAAAAATTTAAATTATTCTACACTGAATGTTAACAATATTTAAAACAATAAATTTTAAATCTAAATGACTAGGTTACGATTAGGAAAATTAATGCCATTATGCAAGTGTGAATTTATAAATTAAAATAAAGAAAGAAGAAGATTTCAGGACAAAAAAAAATCATAACACATAATTTTAAGATATTTTTTTAAAAAATGCAAAGCTTACTTTAAGGTTGTTTCAAAATTGAACTAAGGCTTTAAATTTTTTTAAGCATATTAAACTATTATTTAACAATAATTAAATGCAACCAAATGTTTCAATAGTTAACCATGAACCAAAAAAAAAAAAAACACATACATAAATATACATACACCCGATAAATCAACAATTCGTAGAACAGGAGCCTCTTTTTTACTATGCAAGCCTTTTCCAGATTTTACAGCTTTTGTTTCTGCAGAAAGAAGCTCATCATAATGAGCAGATCGTTGATCATCATCTGCTCTGTATCTAACAACAGTTGCCAAACCTTTACTGACTAATGCTTCAGCCACATTGCTATATTGAAAAATTATAACCTTTGCTATAAATTAGTACTTCAAAAAGATAGAGAATGAACCATATAAGAAATTCAAAACTAATAACTTACATTCCTCCAATAGTTACAGTACAACATGTTTTTTCAGGAAAATTATTGTTGGCAGGCTGCTTATAATCAATAGTAACATTTACTTTTTTCCCGATCAATTTCTTACGAAGAAATTCCCGAGCTTCAAACATGTAAGGAACATCATATAAAGGTTTTGATTTCGTTTTGGGAGTCTCTGATGCATTTTCCGGAAATCTGTAAGCAATAAAGTTTTATCATTTTTTAGCATGCAAAATAAGTTATTAAAAAGGAATATAAATATTTGAAAAATTTTCTATCTTAGTTGTAAATAAAAACAATAGAAGACAGAAGAAACAAAGATATTAACAAATCAATATTAAATAAAAGTATTTATAATGATTTGCTATTTTAAACAATTTCTATATTATAAATCGCATTTATTTTAAAAGATGCAAAGAATTATAAAGAGACAAGTGTACATAAAACAAAACATGAAAAAGGATACATTAACTCATTAATGCACATGGACCCTATTTAAGAATGATTTTGAAAATGTATCCATAAGCTCATTAGAGGAATTTCATAGAAATTATTAAGTACTTTTTTCTTTTAAATTTTATAAATTGCCGCTTACATCAAATGCTCAGTTAATAATGCAACTATTTTTATTCTTAAGTCCAATTTAAAAGTAGCTTTTTGTAATTTCAAGAAGTCAAATGTCAGCTTATTTAATAATATTTTAATTTACTTATTTGAAGTCAACAAATATTACAGTAACAAATATAACAATTTTTTTCTAGAATTCTCATGGAATTTTAGATTTTAACACATTGTTGACCAGTTGATTTGAATAATTAATTGGGATAACATAAAAAGATTAATTGAAGCTTTTTATGTTGCATACATATATATGCATATATATATTTGCATGATGCAACACGTATCTATTTTCTTCAACTTTAAAAATTAAACTAAGATTAACCTTCTAATAGATATAGCTTGATAATTAGGGAAAAAGAAATGCACAATTAAAATATGATAAGATCTCTTTCAAAATGCATTTATAACTTTAAAAATCAAATTAGAAACTAGAAATTTTGATAAATGATAAAGTGAGCTTTTATCAGCCTCTCCTAGCAAACAAAAGGCAACTTTTTTTTCTTCACTTAAACTACAGTCAGCTCATTTCATCATTTTTAAATCGCACAAATACAAATAATGCTGTGTGATTTTTTTTAAGCCTTTAACTCACCTAGGAGGACGTATGCTGGCAAGAAATATTTTTTTTACAGATGCATCTGCTAACTTTACATTCATAGCATCTGCATTCATAATTTCAACTACTTTTCCCTGAAATTCCTTTTCTTTTGCATCAATGACAGGTCCACTAGGAGCATATTCTTTCCATATTCTAAGGCGCCGTTCTTTTGCAAGCCTAGAATAATATTAAACTTTAACATTTTAATGGAAAAATTATTTAACATGCAAGCAATAAATGTTAAATACTAACTTTTCAGCAGCTCTCAGTTTTTCAATTCCAGATGTGACACATTGAAGACTCCAATCTACACATTTAGCATATCCTTCAGTTAATAGTAACTCTGTTATATTCCCTTTCTAAAAAAATAAAAAGAAATATGTTGCTCAAAAAAAACATACAACTTTTTCCTTAAAAGAGAATCAATGAAACAGTTATTATGGCAGAAAATAAAATTAAAAATAGCATTTCTACATGTTAGAATGAGGTAGTATATTCATTTAATTTGATATATTTAAATGAGCATACATTTATTATTTAATAGTGAAATTTCCTACTAGAAAACATTTTTAAAAGCTAGTATTAAAATTAATCCTTTCTTAATGCAACAAAAATATGACTGGCAGTTTGTAAGAATAACTAATGATTAAAAATCAAAATCAAAAGGAAAGATATTTTAAAATGTATCTTCATTAATATTCAATTCAGCATAAGAGTTTTCTTAAAAACAACTTTTTTAAATAAAAAATTTTAGATCTATTTGAAAAATCAATCTGTAATCATTAACAAAAGTCCGTTTTAATAGAAAATGTTCTTCCGTAAAATACTGATTAAGCCCCAACCAAATTTTGAAGAGAATTGCTACAAAGTGGAGAACAACCAGAAGCAAGGAAGAAATGCACAGGTTTTAAGAAAATCGAATATATTTAGTAAAGCGGATATGCTACTCAATCCAATTAAGAACAAAACAAATGAAAGTAAAATTAAATAATTAATAAAATGTATTTCAAATAAATTGCATTTTAAATAACTTACCTTTCATCTTCCCCACTCTTTTTCAATTATGATTGCATTGTTAAAAGCAAGTAGCGATAATATAAAAATTCCTTCATTAAGAATAAACAGAAAGAACGAAAGATTTAATTTCATTATATTTATTTACAATCATTTCTAATCAAAACCAGGAAAGCTTTCAAATGAAGTGTCTGTAATCAAGCACGTATGAATCACAATGCTTGATTTTAAAATTGTGTAAATATGAATCAAGATGTTTGATTTTAAAATGGCATGAATATGAATTGCAATGTTCGGTTTTCAATCGAGATATGTAATTCTTAAATCATAATAATACTCCATAGGAATAACAATCTGTATTTTTTAAAATACATAAATCGATGTTTGTAATTAAAATTGTGTGACTATGAATCATCAATTTTAAAAGCACATGAATAAAAACCACAATACTGATATTGTATTGTTTAATCATGTGAATACAAACTTCGAAGTGATTATTTAACCTTTTAGATAAGGAAAGTAAGATGAAAACATTTTCCTCTTACTGTGTGCTTTTCTTGCCGAAATTCATCCTCCACTTAGTCAGTGGGAGGTAGCTACTTTAACAACCAGTTATGAATAATTAAACATTTTGTTGCAATTTGTACCTCACGTTCCTTGGAGGGAGCAGAAGCAGGGATGTAAATTACTAGTTATTTTTGGCATAGTTATACATATTTTGGCTAACTATTTTTGTAAAGGGTAAAAAATTTAAAATATTTTTTTTTAAATACTTTCTCTTAATATATTAATATTTCCTCTAAAAAAAACAAGCATGCATTTTATAAATTGTTAAAATGTTTTATTAATTTTTCTTTTAAAAAATTGTGTATATTGTTTCTGAAAGATCATAAATAAACTACTACAACAGAAACACCTTTTTTTAATAAAAAGAGCATTGTTTGAAGTTATATTCATGTTTTAAAATTATAAACACATTTATCCTAATAGAGAATTGCTAAACTACGAATTTCAAAGAACAAGGTTTGAGTAACAAAGACGATGAGTCAGAATTCACGATTCAGAAATACCACTGGAATAGGGAGAGAGGTTAAATTGATTCAGAAGGGGAAATTTACAAGTTTTTAAGCTCGGAAAAAAAAAGATGTTTTATTTTCTTATCTGGGCTTTTCATTTCTTTATTTTTATTTCAAACATTTAAAATTAATTTAAAGATGAATTTACATATTAATTGTAAGTGTATTTATTATGTTTCTTTCACCCCCAGATTAGATTTGTATATATGAATGCATGGAGTGACTATAGCTGTGTTATGTTGTAGAGAGTAGAACACTCTTGAGGATTATATTTCCTTTTATTATTGGGGATTATGTTTGTTTTTAAAAAGTTATCTGAGGCTTAGGGGAGAGTCGGGTAGCCCCGTCCACTTAAGGAGTATTGCTAGTTCTGTATAATAATCAATATTTTAGTATGTTTCTATTGTTTTATCATCTAATTAAATAATGCAAAAAGAATAAACCAAAAAAAGAATAGTTTAACTTAAAAAATCGAAATTAAAAAAAAAAAAAACAGATTTTTCAGCTCTTTTCAAAATGTGTGGGTTAGCCCCGCGCAGTTACAAAAATTACGTTTTTTGACAGTTTTTTCAGGTGTAAATGAAAATGACCAATGTATTGACAATAGATAAACCTCATTCATCATTTTTATCACAAAATTATTTTATTTATTACATATTTATATACTTTTAGTGAATTCTATCATTTAATAACAACTGTCATACTTTTTATTATTATTAATGTATATTAATATATTATAATATTAATATATATTTATATTAAATATTTAACGAAAATAATTTAATTTAAGTAACAATAATTAATAACAATAGTTGTTTTTCAATATAAACTTATTTGGTTGATCTCTTCTTATAAAC